ACATAGAAAGAAAAATGTGCTATATGCAGGCACACCCATATGCGGGGGGGGAGGAGCCGAGAGCGAGCAAACAAGCGCGCCTCGTGCCGGGGTCGTGCGGCGTTGGTGGGGTGCCTTGCTTGGTCGGCGGCACAATCGCACATCCGCGCCGCGCGAAGCAGGTCCTGCGCGGAGTCAATCCGGAAGAAGCCGCCGCCCTCGCTGTCGGCGGGCGACGGCGCCACCACCTGAGCCCCGAGTTTTTCTTCTTTCTGTGTTTCTGGCGGCATGAGGATCTTGAGCGGCCGATGAGCGGCGCCATCTCCCATCTGCCCAGCCCTGCTGCCCGACGACCTGGCGGTGGGCGACCTGGGCCGCGCTCTGCTCTCTCACGTCTCAGATTCCCCTTGTCGCTGTGTGTTTTACCCGTAATCGATTACCCGTACTTGCCTTTCTACGAACCGCCGAAGTGGCCCTTGCCTGCTCTGTGGGTCTCTCCTGAGGCCGAGGACCACCCGTAGCTGTCCTCGACCTTGTCGCTGTAGTACGACGAAGATTCGTCGCGGTCGACGTCGCGGCTGCAGAGCAGACTACTCGATAGTGACAGCGGTGCCGCGTCGCCCGGCCGGGAGTGGGAGGCTGCGGCACCAGCAGCCTCTGCGTCGACGAGGGATGGGTACGTCCCTGCGTGGGTGCTCGCCAGGCCGCCCGCATGGCGGCTGCTCCGCGCCTCGCTCGCGGGGTCGAGCTGCCCCTCGGCCGTCGGGCGCTCGTCGATGTGGACGACCTCGTACATGCGGTCCACCCTCGTCGGTGTGGCCGACCTCGTCAGTGTGTACGTCAAGCTTGCGACGAGGTCGTGCTCTGCTGGCGAGGTCGGCAGCCACGCAGCGCGACCTACGAGGGAGCTCCAAGCACGGGTCGCGTCGCGTCCGTCCAGCGAGCCGTCGGGGTGCAACGTGAGCTCTGCGCACTGGCGGCACGTGCGATCAGGTGGGTGGCGGCGAAGGTGAGGAGGAAGGGGGCGCTCCAGTAGAGAAGCAGGACCCGAAATGGATCGAGCGACCCGAGGAGCACCGCGTTGACGGACGCCGAACAGCCGAGGATGACAGACCGCACGCCGACGAGCTTCAGCTGCCAGGACAGCGAGCGCGGCACGAACGCGTAGATGGCGCCGACGATCGCGGCGATCTGCGCGATCGCATGCGCATTGTGCATCATCCCGTCACACACCTCCCTCATCCCGTCGAGCGACGACAGGAGCTGGAGCGTCCCCGAGGTGGCGTGCGACGCCGCGTCGAGGAGGCTACACGGGGAGGCTCCGAGAACGGTTAGGGGGGGCGTGCACTGCCCCTGGCGTCTGCTCGCGCAGCCGCGCCGTCACCTGAGCGCGGCGAACACGTTGGAGATGGCGCGGTCGCTCAGCAGCAGGCGCGCGAGTGCGAAGGCCAGAAGGCCGCCGACAACCCCGAGCCGCTGCAGCAGCTCCGCCTCGAGGTACCTGGGAGGGCGAGAGGGAGCTCACTAGCTGGAGCTCACGCGCATAGAGGCCGCTCTCACGTTCGCCCTCCTGGGACCCGGTGCTGCCTTCTAACTGTCGCCGCTGTCTGTCTGTTCTCGACTGTCGCGTGCGTGATCTTGGGTCCGGGGCTGTGCCTTTGTGTGAGCGGGTGACAGGCTGGGAGAGAGCGGGTTGGGGGTGAGGGTGAGTGTCGGTGTAGCGAGGGTGACAGTGAGGGGTGCGGGCTGGGAGTGGGAGGGGGGGGGAGCGTACCAGCCCGGCCACTCCGGCAGCAGCGCGAGGCCCGCCGCCGCAACCACCGCCAGGAACGCCAGCGTGTACTGCCCGAGGGGAGTGAGACCGGGTCAGACCTCCTCTCGCGGGCGGAGGGTCCCCAACTCCTTCTACTGTGATGGCCTGCCCGGCGATGGGGTGCGGGTCCCAACCCTGCTCCGAGGCCGCCGCCGCCGCCGGCCGGCCGGCGCTCGCCTACAGGACGTTTGCGAGAAGGATCGCGGGAAGTGCTCCTCCTCCTCCTCCATGAGCGGGACGCTGGCGGTCGTGCTCGCCTGTGGGATATGTCTCGGACACGTCACGGACGTGTCCCGGACCCGTCCTCCCTCGGAGCGGCGCCCGCTCCCTGCCCGCCATCCCAGCCTCCAGCCAGCCTAGGGGCGCCGCTGCCGAGGCGGGCCGCTGGGCGTCCGGCGGCGGCTGCGGCGACAGCGACTGCGGCGACGGCGACGACGGCGGGGCCCCCGGCGGCGATGGGAAGCGCGGCGGCGCCATCGGCTGCGGCTGCGGCGGCGGCTGCGGCTGCGCGCGGAGGAGTGCGAGCGCGTGGAGCGCGGCCGCGAGCGAGCGCGCGAGCGAGCGCGGCGGCGCGCCGGGAGCTGCGCCGCCGACCTCTGCCTCGCCGACCTCTGCCTCGCCCTCGCCGACGTGCTCCGCCTCGAGATTGTCGATCTCGAGGTTGTCGACCTCGATCTCGTGCTGCGGATCCCGCGACGCGCCGATCCTCTCGGTGTAGTAGCTGCCCTCGACCTTGTCGCTGTGGTACGAAGACCCGACGCTGCAGCCGCTGCCCGGCGCGGCGCCGAGCAAGGCACTGCCCTCCTCATCGCCCTCGCCGTTCTCCGCGTCGAGCCACGAGTCGCACGGCACGGGCTCGCCTGCAGGACATGTCGCGGACATGTCGTGGACGTGTCCCGGACATGTCACCGGGTCGCACGGCACGGGCTCGCCGGCCGGCACCGCGAGGGAAGAGAGCGCGGTAAGCACCTCCTCCGCGTGCGGTCGCCGGCAAGCCTCGCGGTGCCAGCAGCGCTGCATCAGCTCGGCCGCGCACTCGCCGAGCACGCCGAGCGCACCCCCGCCGGCGGCAGCGCGAGGCCACCGAGGCGTCGGCCGCTCGCCGGCCACGGCGGCCTGGTGCGCGCACCAGCCGGAGCGGTGCAGTTGGAAGGCGGGCTCGCGGTAGGTCGCCTCGAAGAGGAGGAGGCCGAAGCTGTACACGTCGCTTGCGGGCGTGTGCCACATGCTGCTCCGCCGGCCTCCTCCGCCGGCGTGCCGCGACGCCTCTGGCGCGAGGTACCTCCAGGTGCCGACGGCCGGGGTCTGGCTGAGCTCGCCGTAGTGGGTGGTGGCGAGCCCAAAGTCGCCCAGCTTGGCGCGCGAGTGGGAGGCGTCGAGCAGCACGTTGGACGCCTTGACGTCGCGGTGCAGCGTCGCGTGGCCGTGTAGCCACGCGAGGGCGGTCGCCGTGTCAGTCAGCAGCGTCCACAGCTGGCGCGACGACCCGGCGGCGCCGCCTGCGCGCTTGAGGTAGTCGTGGAGCGTGCCTCCGGCCATCAGCTCGAGGATGAGTACGTGCTGCAGGCCGTCGGAGCCGCAGTCGAGCCGCGCGTACGCGAGGAGCTCGACGAGCCGCGGGTGGCGCAGCTGGCGCAGCGACGACACCTCCTTTCGCACGCGCTGCCCATCCCGCGCATCGGCGTGTCGGATCACCTTGGCGGCGGCCGGCCTGCCGTCCCACTCGGTGGCGTACACATCTGCAAACCCGCCTCGGCCGAGCAGCCGCCCGAGCACGAGGCGCTGGGCGGCGGCCCCACTGCCCTCGCGGGCCCGATGGGCCGGACGGACCGCCGATGGACAAAAGAATTCGCGGCAGGACGCGCGCACCTCGGCAGCAGCAGCCTGCTCGTCGGCCAGCCAGCGGCCATCCTCGCGCAGCAAGAGGGTCTGCATCTCCTCCTCCGCCTCGGTGAGTGGTTGCGCTGAGTGCACCTTCCGGCGCAGCCGACCGCGGACCGCCTGCAGCCGCGCCCGAATCGCGTCGCCGCGCAAGCCCCAGGCGGTGAGCTCGCCGCCGCCGAAGCCGGCCGCCAGAGCGACCGCGCGGTAGAGCATGTGCCGGCAGAGATTCGGGCTTGGGCCGATGCGCGCCACCAGCACGGCGGTGTGGAGCGCGTGGAGGCAGAGCCAGGCGAGGGCGACCTTGCCCTTCCACCGCAGCGCGCGGGGCATCATCGAGTGCGCCGCCCCCAACAGGAAGGGCGTCGGCGCCACCCAGCCCGACAGCCGCTCGAAGCTAAGCGCCTCCGCGCTCTGCCCGCCGACCAGCGCGAAGATCTCGTCGTCCCGGAGCAGCAGGCCCGAGATCGGCAGCGCGACGAGCGGCACGCCCGGAAGCACCACGGACCACACCCTCGCCGCGCGTTCGGCGGTGACCACCCCGTCGGCGATGGCGGCAGCGATGCCGAGAAAGACGAGGAACAGGAGCAGTATGATTGCAGAGCCCCGGTGCAGCGCCGATACGCCGCCACTGATGGCCGAGAAGGCCCTGCTGCACCCCTCGCTGGCCATGGCGGCGCTCACAGCGGCCACGGCAACGGCCTGAGCCTGCCTGGTCGAGCGAGGGCGGCCGCAGCCGACGCCGGTCTCTCTCTCACGCCCGGCCGCGGATGGCACCAGCAGGTAGCCGGCTCGACTCATGGCGGCCGATCGAAGAGCGAGCGGAGCCACCCCAGCATCTCGAAGCGCCGTCTGACCGCCGACTTCCGTTCCCCTCCCCCCACACCCTCTCGAGTACACAGGAGCGACACACAGAACCACAAAAAGGGGCTCATACTCATCGCTCCCATCTCCCTTCCTCAATTCCCAGCTCCTCTTCCCCCTCTTTGGATGCCCCTATCGACCGAAGGAAGGCATCCGCTTGCTGTCGTGGCGACACCTGCAACTGCTCTGTGGAGGTCGGAGATAAAGAGAGAGAGATTTTTGTTGAGTTAAAGTGGGCCCCCTTTCCATGTCACAAACAACTCTAACACTCACACGTAATTTGGGGCCTGGAGCCCTGTTCACGCGCGCGCGAGACGTGCAGACAGGGTTGCCAGGCCTCTCTCTCTCTCTCTTCCATGTCCCAAACCCACTCCCTCCCCAAGCATTTCCCCTCTCCCCCACCGCTAAATATCCCAAGTCTGGGTGGTCCACATTCCTCTTAGGATCAGGTCCAGGCAAATCCCTGTACCGGGTGCAACCCTAGGGGTACAACCCTGGCGAACTTGCACTCGGAAATGTCCGCAGGTCGTGTCCCCCTCAAAGGCCATGGGCTCAGGCAGTTCGAGAGTCGCCTCGGCTGACTCGCTCGTCGCGCGCTCGACTCCGGTAGCCTCCGCGGACTCGCCCGTCGTTCCTCACGAGGCGCTTTTCTCGACGCCAGCGGCGGAGGCAACCACACTCACGTCCAAGGCGAAGAGGCTCGACGGCTTGGCGAGTTCCTCGACAACGCTGTGGTATACAGGTAAGCAGCTCATGTGGAGCTACAAGCGGAGCATGGTCGTGCTAAACAAGGACGGGATGGTGACCACATTCAAAGACGGGAGCGGCAACGTCATCGCCCTCCTCAAGCATGGCGACGTGGCCTCCTACCGCCGCGGGACCGGCCACGCCATCCTGTACGCACCACGGCCACCCGCTGGCGCAAGTGCGCACGCCAGTGTGGAGGGCTTGCACGCCGCGTACGAGATCAGGCTCCCCGATGACGTCCTGGAGGCCTACCCGGTCAAGCAGGGCCCTGGTGGTGTCATGACCAGCCAAGGCATGCAGAAGGGTGGCCTTGGCTTCTTCGCCGCCGGCGCCGCCGGCGCGTTCAGCGCGACGAGCACGTACCGGTTCGTGGGCGAGAGGGACGGCCTCACGCGTAACAAGTGGATCATGCTGAACGCGAAGGGAGACTCGATCGGCACGTACGAAGACAAGACCAAGAAGGTCATTGTGGCTGCAGCTGGCGTCGACGCGGTGTTGCTCGTCGTCTTCGCATCCGTCGTCTTTGACTACGTCGCGACGATGTGTGAGGACGTCGGCTAATCCAGGTCAGCAGGGAGGCCGCGAACCGGCTGCGAACCGCCTGCGCGGCTCCCCGCTTGTTATCAGCCCGCGGACCTTGCTCTTCACCGTTCACGGCTAGCTGGAGGGCGGTCGTGTCGCGTGTGTGCTTTTGACATAGAGTGCTGAGTGGCATGATGCAATGGTACGTACGTTGATGAAAATTTAATCCTTTTCAACAGAGAGACGACCTGGCGCTGGGACACAACACAGAGAAAGAGCTGGCTGGCAAAACACACAGAAGACTCGCTCCCACAGCAATCAGCAAGTGTATCCCCAGATTATTTCATTCCTCACCTCCCAGCCGGCAATCGCACCGTGCAGCAGTTCCGTCAGCTCATTTCTACGAACGGCTTTGCGTTGTTGACGTTGAGCGTAAGGGTCCGCACGTCGGCGAGCCGACGCTTGCGCATGCCGCAGCACGATGCTCGCGGTGGCGGCGAGGCAGGAGGCTGACCGGTGCCCCGGTGCGGGTCGTCCGGAATTGCGCCTCACGCGGTCACCGTCCAGACCCGGCTGAAAAACCCGGCTTCTGCCGGGCTGCCCATCCTCCTGCAGAGTATGAGGGGTGCTGCTCGTCTCCTTCCCCACCGTGGCCGCCGAGGGCTGCGGCGGCGGCGAGGCCTCCAAGCCGCGCACGCGCCAGCGCGTCTCCGCCGAGTCCGCTCTCAAGCACGCGGCCGACGCGGCGACGTCCTACGCCATCGCGGTGGACGACGCCAACTCGAGCATGCTGCAGGCGCACGTGGCGTGGCACAACCGGACCGCCGAGGAGGCGGGGCAGCCTCCCAGCGCCGTCGTGCCGTACGAGTGCAGCAACTGCTCGCACACGGAGTTCGGCACGATCTTCCGCATCATGACCCGCATGCACGTCTCGCCGGACGAGCTCCACGCCAACCGCGACCTCATCGACTTTTACTTCCCCGTGCGTCCTCCCCCCCCCCCCCCCCGCCCGCCCCCCACCCACCCACGTACCCACGCCGCTCCCCCCTCTGGCTCTGTTCGGCGGCGCAGAACTTCAAGACCGAGAATGTGCTCGTCGACCTGGCAACGGAGAGCATGCTGCAGCTGGGCGGCAACGCCACCGTCATCATTGGTGGGCTCAAGGGCGATCTGGCCGTGCTGAATGGCTGCCGTGGAACGGTCATCGCCGCTGAGACGGCCGAGCCTTTCAAGCGGAGCGACAAGGTGCGCATCTCCGGCCTGTGCTCGCGGCCGGAGCTCAACTCTGCGCTGGGGGTGGTGCTCGGCTTTGACGAGGCCAGCGGGCGCTACGCTGTCAAGCTCGCACAGGCAAAGCCCGGCGACCCGTCCAGCAGCGTCAAGGTGAAGCACGCCAACCTGCAGCTCGCGGCCCAGCCAAAGGAAGTGCGCCTTCGCGTGACCCGCGCCGACGGCAGCGAGCAAGAGGTCGTGCTTCCGCCGTGCAACCTGCTGGCCGATCTCGATGCCGAGCTTGCTGCAAACGACAAGGCGGCGGCCGAGGCGGCGTGCGCCGACGCGGAGGCTTTCGATGCTGAGGTCATCGTGTGCGAGTCGGACGAGCGCACGCGGGTCGTGCTCGAGGTCCGTACTAGAGACTCCGGCACCACTCTTCATGCACCATTACTCTCATGGCCTACCCCCGCGCTGCAGGTGGCGCGAAAGCTACAGCTGCCGTACGCTCCCTTCAAGATGCTGTTTGTGGAGGGAGTGACGCAGTACGCGCCGGAGGGCGACCTGATGCCGCCGGTCCAGATCCCCGTGATGCCGGCCTGGATCTCCGTCGGCGACTACGACAACATCTTCTCCTACCAAAAGCTGGCGACCAAGGGCATCACAGTCGAGTCGCGGTCGCTGCAGGCGATCATCGACGACTGCGATGTCTTCAAGCCGTCCGAGTGGGGCGGGGGCAAGGCGGGGATGCGCCCGCGCGAGCCCTTAAAGGCAGAGGGCCTCTGGTTTGAGGACAAGTACAAGGCGGTTCAGGCTGCGAACCCCGAGATGAACTACATCGAGGTGTCCGCGTTGATGGGGCGGTGGGACGCGGCGCCGGAAGACGTCAAGGCGACGTACGAGGCCAAGGCCGCGGCGGCACTGGCGGAGCACGCGCCCAAGCTCGCCGAGTGGAAGGCGAACGTGGCCGCTGAGGCGCAGCAGAACGCGGCGGCGTGCCTCGATGGCAACACCGGCAAGGTGGTCGACCTCGAGCAGTTTGGCGTCGACGAATACGACACGCTGCAGGACGGCTGCTGCATGGGCCTGCGCTTCTGCCTGCCGGCCGTCGACCAAACCAACCTGATCAAGTCCATCATCTTTGATGCGCACGTGACGCCGTCGAAAGTCAAGGTGCTCCCCGGCGGCGACGACTACGGCACGAAGCCACCGGCGGCGGCCGCACAGAGCGGCGAGGCGGCACCCGCACTCTTTCACCTCGACTCGTCGGGCAAGGCGTGCTTCTCCGCCTCGGAGGCGCAGGCGGCAAGCGCGCACATCGCCGCCCTGCGGCTCGACGAGCGCGTCAAGGCTTGCCTGCAGCGCAAGAAGTTTGTGCTCCCGCAGCAGTCGCGCAACGTCTCCGAGAACTTTTGCAACGAGTGCGTGCGCGCACTCATCTAGCCAGCGTGCCTCTCTCCCTGTGACAAGCCCCTACTCCCACCTCTGCCCCCGGCACAGGGCCGTCTACGGCAAGCTCAACTTCTTGCGCGTGTCGGGAATCGTCCGCCTCGACGCCGCCGGAGCGGCCGCGACGAGTGGCGAGCTGGCCGCATTCGATGCGTGGCCGGCGCCGGACAAGAAGAACCCCAAGCTGAACTTCCGCGACTTCGACGACGGTTTCTACTGATTGCGAGGGCAAAGACATGCGGCGGCCCAGCCTACGTTTGCCATGCAAGCTAGCATGCAAGCTCCAAGCAAGCAGGCAGACGCTACGGAGCCACGGAGAGGGGCGGCACCTTCGAGGAGCCACGGAGGGACGCGTGTTTGGGCACTTGTATGACAGGTTCTGTGGCGCGGGCGGTACTCCCCATGGTCGGGTCGTTCTTAGAGGGCACTATCCACCGCTGAGTGGTTGCTGGGGGAGGGGGATTAGACGTTGTCGAGTGTGAGGCCGCGACAGAGGCGAGGCCAGGCGTGCTGCTGGGTGCTGGGTGGGACTGCTTGCTTGCTGCAGTTTTACGTTACCTTCTTTTACAAGGGCACAAAACGATCAAGACCGCCGCGATTGCTATACACGCACGTATGTTGTTTCTTCCCTTCACGTGCGCCGCCGGCTCGTCGCGGCCTTCTGCGGGTCCGCGTGGCAGCCGACGGCGAGCCCATCGGCAATCAGGTCGCGCGGCGTCACCTCGAAAATCCTCATCGCAAACCCTGTCAGCAGTCCTCCGAGTCCTCCTCCGGGAATGTACGTAAGAGCCACAAGCCACATACAACGAAAAAGCGCCGGCATACCCCTAGAGCTCTAGAGCTCAGAAGCGGCTCAGAAGTAACGTAAGACAAAAGAAAAGACAAGCGCGCGCCTTGGGAGGGACAAAAACGTTCGCGACCGCAGGCGCAGACAGGCAGAGGGGGAGGACAAAACTCGCTTTGCTGTACTCCTAGCTAGTGAATGAAGAGTAATAGAACATGCGTGGTGGTGAAAGTCAGACGATCTGGCTCATCTGGGCATGCGCCCCCGGCTCATCGCAGTCTTCTACAAGGTCGTCGCCCACCGAATCGTCGCCCACCGAGTGCTCCTGCAGCTCCGTCTTAGAAGAGGAGCCGCGGGTCTGCGTCGTTCGAGCGAGAGTGGCAAGGCGCACGCGCGACGTGGCCGTCTGCTTGGTCGCGCCGAGCGCCTGTGCGAGGTGAGCGATCGACACCTGGCGGTGCGGGTCTGCGTGGCAGCCGACGGCGAGGTCGTTGTACAGCCCATCGGCGATCAGGTCGCGCGGCGTCACCTCAAAAAAGCGCCCAAAGATGCAGCCGCCGAGCGCGGCGTCGTTCTCGTGCGCCATGACGATTGGCAATCTGGCCTCGCGCGCGGCGCGCACCTGCTCTGCGAGAGGCTCTGCGCTATCTCCGGCCCATGTCGACCACTTCAGGTAGAGCAGCATGTGCGTCGCCTCGTCGCCGCTACCGCTCGCGCGAGGCAGCGAGGAGAGGCGCGAGGGCGGTGCGTCGGTGACGGAGATCTCGCCAGACACGGCGACCACGACTGCATTGGCTAGCTCTCGCGCCCCGGCGTTCAAGGTCGAGGCCCAGAGTACCACTGGCTTAGGAAAGGCGAGGCCGTCAGCTCGTAGCTCGCCCGGGATGCACAGGGGCAGCGCGTCCTCGCCCGCGTACTTAGGCGTCTTCAGCAGCAGCGCCTCGGCGATGACCTTGAGCGAGACGTGCTGGAAGGCCTCGATCCGATGCCACACCGTCATTGGCCAGCCGGCGTCGAAGATAGCGGCCTGCAGCTCCTCGGGGCATTCGGACCGCAGCTCGGCGAGCGTGCCTCCGCCTTTGGCCGGGTCTGCCTCGTGGACGAGCACGAGCGGCTTGCCCATCTCCAGCGCGGCGCGGATCTCTCGCAAGCAGTTTGTCGAGCGCAGGTAGCCCTTCGAGAGGAAGCAGAGCACCACCTGCGAGCGACGAATGTACGCCTCCAGCTCTCCGATGTTCTTTAGGTCGTCGACGTCGAGGAAGATCTCGCAGCCGGGGAGGAACTGCTGGAGCTCGTTCTTGATGACGGCGACGGCGTCCTATAAGGGAGGAGGGTCAGGTCTTCTCCGCACATGCAAAACGGTGGGGCAAGAGGCGGCTAACCTGCCCCGTGCTCCAGACGTGGCTAAGGAAGAGGTGCCACTGCTGGCCTTCGGCGAGGGTGATGCCGTCGCGCATCGGCTCGCGCTTCGAAGAGGCGAGCCGCATGGTCTTCGCCCTTGCGGCGCTGATTGCCGATACGAGGATGACGGCCAGGGAGACGGCGAGCATGGCGGCGGTGAGGACGACGACAAAGGTGGTGGCGCCCAGGGAGCCGCTGAAGCCGACAAGCTCGTAGCACTGCTCTGTGCTGTCGCAGAGCTGCGGCGGCGAGGGGGCGGGTGGTGTGAGGTTGCGCGGACGCGGGAGAGAGGGGCGGTGAGGTAGTGCCAGCGCGGACCTGGACGACCACTCCCGACGCGAAGCAGCAGGTGAGGAGCAGGTTGGAGACGCACGCGAGGCCGAGGTCGTCGGAGCGCCGGTAGGGGCGGGCGAGGGCGAGGATGGTGAGAAACATGGCCGAGACAATGGCGGCGACCACGGTGCGCAGCAGCTTCCTGGAGCCGTACTCCTGGTCGATGAAGAGGACCATCGAGGTGAGGAAGATCTTGCGGACCAGGTCGAGCACCTCCCAGAAGAGGAAGCCGGCGGAGTAGTCCCGCCAGAGGAAGCTCGTCGCACGAGAGAGCGGCGTTGCGCGCTGCGCAGCCACGGGCTTGCGGACGCGGAGCAGCAGCGCCAGGAAGCCGAGCGGCACGAGGACGGGCCAGAGGGCAAAGAAGGCCCAAAAGTACGGCGCGAGTCCGCTCGTCTCGTCGTCCCACGTCGGGCCGGCGTCGCACGTGAGCGACGGGTCGGCAAGCAGGTAGCTGATGCGCCGGCCTGTGGCGTCGTCGTAGCCAAAGGACTCGCACAGCCTCGCGCTGAAGATGGAGCGCGAAACGGAGGGAAGCACGAGGTAGAAGATGAAGATCGCCCAGTAAAGGAGGCGGCCGAGCAACTGGTGGTCAAATGCCTGCTTCTGCTTGGCGTTGAGGACCGCCGCCACGGCCACAATGGCGAGAGACACGAAGGCGACGGCGAGGTACGGCCAGATGCCCGCGACGAGCAGCCGCGTGCTCATGGCTCCGATGCAGCGGCCGGGGATGGCAACGTCGAACAAGTCCAGGCTGAACAGCTTGAGCACGTCGAGCCAGCGCGTAAAGTGCTCGTCGAGGCGGACGCCGTAGACGACGCCGAGGATGCTGCTCACCTGGTAGAAGCCGACGACGATCTTGAACTTGGGCTGCAGGCCGACCTCGGACTCGATGCGGGTGGCCCGCTGCCGGAGGCGGCGGGAGAGGGGGAGGTGGCGGAGCCCAGCGTAGACGGCGGCGAGCACAGCGATGACGATGACAAAGCCGACAAAGACGCCGGCGGAGCGAGCCGTCGAGGGGCAGGCGACGCAGCGCCCCTCGGCAGAGCTATAGTAGTCCGAATCCGCGACGCAGACCTCGCAGAGCGGGCCGGTGTGGCCGGCGGTACAGGAGGGGTCGGCATCTCCGTCAGTGAGGCGGCGGCGGCGGGAGGGCTTGCCGAAGCCGACATACCCAGCGCACGTCTTTGAGTCACAGCGGTGGAGCTCCGAGGTGGCGTCGGAGGCGCGCCAGTAGCCGACGTCCACGCCGAGGGATGCGAGGGCGGTGCCGGCGCTGCAGGTGGCGTTGGGCGGGCATGACTTGCAGTACTCGGTCGGGTTCTCAAAGATGCCGTCCGGGTTGGCGCTCGCGTCCAAGTAGAAGTCCTTCTTGCAGATGGAGCAGGTGACGTCGCCGCTCTTGGAGCCGGTAGGGTAAGGGCAGGGCGTACACTGCGACAGGCCCTCGCTCGCGGCGTAGGTGCCCGCCTCGCACTCCTCGCACTCGGTGGAGGAGACTGCGAAGTTGCCTTTCGGGCACAGCACGCACGCGGACATGTTGGGCGAGGGGGCGATGCTACCTGGAGCGCAAGCGGTTGGCTGCGCGGCGCCGCCGGCGCAGAAGCTGCCAGGCGCGCAACCGACGCAATCGTTGAGGCTCTCCAGCGTCGCAGACGCGTTGCCGTTGTAGAAGCCCGCGGGGCAGCTCGCCGGCAGCTGAGTGCTGCTTCCCTTGGGACAGAACGTACCCGGCGCACACTCGAGGCAGCCCGCGGCTCCGGAGTCCGGCTGGTACGTCCCGACGTCGCAGACGGTGCACTGGCCCTGAGCAGGGTTGGCTGCGGTTCCTGGAGAGCACACGGCAGGCGCAGCGCCGCCTCCCGCGCACGACGAGCCGGCGGGGCAGTCGAGGCACTCGGGGTCGCCGTCGGCGTCCGTCACGTTGGCGTACGTGCCCGCCTCGCACTGCGCGTCCAGCTCGCGCGACGACCCCACCGGGCAAAACTTGCCCGCAGCGCAGCGGACGCAGGCGGCGGCGGCGGTGTCGTTTTGGTAGAAACCCTCGGGGCACAGCTCGCACGCGTCGTTGCGGGTGCCGACGGCGAGGCTGCCCTCGCGGCACGCCGTCTGCTGCGTGGAGCCCGTGGTGGCGAAGTGGCCCGGCGAGGCGTCGGTGCACTGGCCCGCGTCGGCGAGGTCGGTGGCGTTTGAGTACGACCCAGCGGGGCAGGGAAGGGGCACGCTCGTCCCCGCCGGGCAGTAGTGGCCAGCATCGCAGGGCAGCGCCTCATAGGTCGCCTCTGTGGGGCACTGGGAGCCTGCGGGACAGCGGCCGGCGCAGCTGCTGCTCGACTGGTCCTCGGGGTTGGCCGAGCCGATGAGGCCGGCTGCGCAAGCAAAGGGGAAGTCCTGCTCGACGGGCAGCAGCGGCAGCTGGTAGAGGTCGTCGCCGAGGAGGAAGGGGTCGCCGCCCCGCGTGCTATTCCAGTTGCAGGGCTGCACGAAGGTCGGTTCCTGGCAGTACCACGCTTCCGGAGCGGCGAGGTTGATCGCGCAATCCTCGCGGTACGTGAGGCAAGGCTCCTGCCTTGGATCCGCGTCGTTATAACGGCACGCCTCCCGGTACACCTCGCAGCGCGCGTTTGGCAGCCAGCGGCCGGCGGGAGCGGGAAGGGTGTAGGAGACCTCGCCAGCGAGCAGGAAGATGGAGCTCCCCTCCTCCTCGGCAGAGCAGCCGCTGATGAGGGTGCCGTTGCTCAGAGAGGTGCTCCCGCCCGCCGAGTAGAGGCCGCCGCCAGACAGGGCAGAGCAGCCGCTGATGAGGGTGCCGTCGCTCAGGGAGGTACTTCCGCCCGCCGAGTAGAGGCCGCCGCCAGAAGGTGGGTAGAGGCCGCCGCCATAACGTGCGATGCAGTTGGAGATAGTGGAGCGGGCCAGGCTGGCTGAGCCCGACGCAACGTACACTGCGCCGCCTCGCGTGGCATTGCAGCCGGAGATGGTGGAGTCAGTCACGATGAGGTCGTTGTACGTGTATGTCACTCCGCCCTCCTGCGAGGGGAGGCGCGAGAGGCGTTGTGACTCTCGTTGCCTTGTCATGGGGGACTACCCCCTGGGCGGTGTGGTGCACCTGGCCAGCCGAGCAGCCCGTCACGGTCGAGCCGATTAGCGAGACCGCACCGCTGCTAGGAGACGCGTAGACGACACCGCCACCACACGCCGGAAATGCACAAAACGCACCAGACGCGTCCTGCAGTTGCGAGGGGAGAGCGGAATGAGGTAGCCGTGGCCCTGCACATCTCTCTTCCCGCTGCCGTGCGGCGCTGCACAGCGGCGGCCAGCTCTACGCGGCGCACCTCGCCAGCCGAGCAGCCCGTCACGGTCGAGCCGATGATCGAGACCGCACCGCTGGCCTGCGCGGAGACGACGCCGCCGGACTGCGGTTGCGAGGAGAGAGCGGGGTGAGGCAGCCGTGTCCCTCTCTATCTCTCGCCCCGCTGCTGTGCGGCGTTGCAGGGGTGAGGCTCTACTCGGCGCACAGAGACAGCATGGCAGTCCCTCACATCCGAGTCGATGATCTCGACGTCGCCTGCACCGTCAGCGTACACAACGCCGCCGTTTTTTTTGAGCAACGTCGCCCTCCCGTTGACGAGGGTCAGCCCCCGCAGGGTGAGGCTGCAGCCGCCCGAGAGGTAAAAGAGCCCAGTCTGTGCCTGGCCGTCGAGCGTCGCGCCCTTGCCGCTGCTGGCGACAGTCACCTTGACGTTGGAGCCGCAGCTGATCCGGCTGTCTAGCATGACATGCGCACCCGGCGCCATGTGGACGGAGATGTCGGTGGTAGCGCCCTCGATCAGGGCGCGGAGATCAGCCTCCGTTGCCGCGGCGACAAAGCCAGGAGTGAGCGGTGGCAGCGGAGGCAGCGGCGATGGTGGCGGGGAGGGCGGCAATGCAGGCGGTGAAAGCGGTGGAGGCGGCAATGCAGGCGGTGAAGGCGACGAAGGCGGCCGAATCGCCCAGCAGACCTGACGGCAGAGGGAGGAGGGGCATCAGAGACGTGCGGGGGAAGGCGAGAGAGCCCAAGCGCGCCTTCCAGCCCGACCTGACATCGCTGTCATCAGAGATCCACTCGATGACGCCGTCTTCCGGCACCACGCCATTCGGCCCCGAGGTGCTGCAGTACTTCATGCCGTTGACGGTGAGGTAGTCCTTGTAGCAGTCGTCCGTGAACTCGCCATTGCCGCCGTAGTCGCCGTAGTCGCCGTATTCGCCGTAGTCGCCGTAGTCGCCGTAGTCGCCGTAGTCGCCGTAGGACCAAGCGTCTCCCTCCACATCAAAGGCGACCACCTCCAGCCCAACCGGCGGCACGCCGCTGATGGTGCACATCTCGTTGTTGCCGTAGCTGAGCGGATAGTTTGGCGACGCGGCGCACGAGCCGCCGTCGGTGAGCGAGCACGGGCCGGTGATGAAGTAGCCGCCAGGGAGGAGCGGCGGCGGCGGGATGGGAGGCGGCGAAGGCGGCGGTGAAGGCGGGTACGGCGGTGAAGGCGGGTACGGCGGAGCCCGGGGTACGACGGAGCAGTCAATGCCGTCATATTCAATGCACACTTCAGCGTTCGGCGGTCCTGCAAAATCGGTAGGATCATAGGGAAAGCATGCCGATCCGATCTTGCACGCAACGCATTCGCCACATGCATTCTGCGGTGACGGCGGCGACGACGGTGGTGGCGGTAGCTGCGGCGGGGAGGGCAGCGACGACGGTGGTGGCGGCAGCGGCGGCAGCGGCGGCAGCAGTGGTGGCGATAGTGGTTTGAAGTACATCGCACAACCGTCGCCGCATTGCGCTTGCCAATTTTGTTGGCCGCACATTGCGTAGCTCACGGGGCAGCCGGCGCACATTGCGTAGCTCGGCGAGGGGAGCAATCCCATGCCGTGTAAAATCTGCTCGACGGGTCCCGAGTACAAGCAACCCGCGTCGTCGGCGCCCTGGCACTCTGCCCGGCACTCCGCCTCGCTGTGCGTGAAACGGCCATACTGGCAGCCCTGCTCGCACGACGCGACCTGGTTGCAGTACGAGCCGTCGGGGTTGTTGATACAGTAGCCGCTGCTCACGCAACTCGCGACGCACGCCGCTGTGTAGTCGGGCGGAAACGGGGGCAAATGGGGCGGCGATGGCGGAGAGGGGGGCGGGAGCGGTGGGTGCGGCGAGGGTGGCAGCGGCGGCAGCTGCGGGGGTGACGACGGCGGCGACGGTGGTGGCGGTGAAGGCGGCGGTGATGGTGGCGGGGAGGGTGGCGGTGATGGTGGCGGGGAGGGCGGCGCAAACGGCACCACAAAGGACTTCGCTTCCTCGGACCCAGAGGTAACGGTGAGGCCTTCCTGCCCGAGGCCTGACCAGCTAGCGCCGTTCCAGCCGTCGTCGTACGAGTCGTACATGTGGAGCTCGCACTCGACGCCGGGCGAGAGGGAGACGCCGTACTCGGTCTGGAAGTCTGGGCAGAGCCCACACTGGTCTGAGCCGGTGTAGGGCGCCGACGAGAGGACGACTGTACCGCCGCAGCGGAGGTCCCAGCTCACCTCGCTAGGGTACGATCCCGGCGTCGTGGTGACGGTGTAGTATGCGAGCGGGTACGAGGGCGGAGACGGAGGCGGCAGCGACGGCGGCACCTCCCAAAGTCCGGAGCCCTGCTCACCAGAACCAACTTCGCCAGACCCAGCCGGCGGTGTGAGATTCGCGGCCACCCTGCCGACGAGCAGCGCGGTGGCGGCCAAGCGGACGTGTGTGACGGATACTTCGAGCGAGGCGACTCGCGAACGCCCAAGCAGCAAGGATCCCGCGCAGACGAGGCCCGTCTCGACTAAGTCAACTAGCTTTCGGAGCTGCCCAGCGGTCCACGACTCGGGCACGTTCACGGGCATGATCTCGTTCAGCTTGGTCGGGTGGTGCCCCTTCGCCACCTCGGTCTTTTGCTCCCCGGACTCGAACACTGGGCGCCCGTCCGCCGTGGCGGGTTGGCAGGTGTCCACCTGGGCGGCATGGGAGAGGCGCTTAGACAGGGGCACAGACAGAGGCGGGCGGGCGGCGGCATATATGGGGTGGGCCAGAGAGGCGAAGAGTGCGTGATGCAGCAGCGTGGCGGGTGCAGTACGGGTCGAGCACCTGACTCGCCCGCTCCAGCTCTCCCCTTTCGACCTCGAGCAGCGAGGAGTCGGTGAAGTGGGAGGCGGGCCGCCAGTTGGCAAAGTCACAGAAGAGATCAGTCGACTCGGCCATCTTGAGGTCAGCGACCTGGGTGGAGTGGACCTCCGTGGGCCACGCTGAGTTCCTCGGCGAGGTGCCGAGGGACTGGTCGATGGCCCCTTCACTCTGGAGGAGCAGGCAGTGCCGCTTTGCTCCGCCCGCTCGCCCGCCGAGCGCCGCCTTGGTCCTTGACGCATCGAGCGGGCCGTGGACGCCGATGGTCGACGCCTCAAGGGTCTTGCGAGGGATGCTCACCGTAGCCGGCGGCGCCTCGTTCTTGACAGATTCCTGCTTTGGGACTCGAGAAGGGTTCGCCAATCTGTCGATCGCCCGCCACTCGCCGCCGGCGCGCACGCAAGAGACGAGAGGAAGAGAGAGGTTGACGACGGCTATCGGGCACGAGATGCTCGACCGGTGTGCAGTACCAGAGACGATGACAAGGATTGCCAAGCTCATCTGGGAAGAGACGCTCTCAAAGCGCGCTTCGGGCAACCTTCACGCGCCGCGATTAAGGCCGACGAAGCCGATCGTGACAGGATGCGTGCCAGAGGCGCGGGGTTCCATCGTAATATAAAAAGCGAGCTGACGCACAGCGTGTCAAGTTGCAGACAGCGTGTCAAGTCTTCGATGAGATATAAAACAAAACCGCCCGTTCTCCCCGGCGCTGTGTGGATGGACGCTGGCTGGCCGTGAGATGACGGACGGCATGCTAGCTTCCCCCAAACTCAGACAGAAGGTGCAGCAGTAAAGTAAAAAGGAAAAAGCTTGCTGCGCTGGGGGACGCCCCTTGGAGCCAACCATTGGAGCCAACCAGCTGGACACGCACACACCTGCCGCGCACGCCCAAGACCGCTCTCGACGAAGCCGATCGTGACAGGATGGCGTGCCACAGGCGCTGCGTTTGATTATTTTTGAGCTATTCGATGTTTAGCAAACGCAAGGCGGACATGGCACATCGCTCTCGGGCCCACGGACATCCCGCACACCCGCCGCCCCCGCGCGCCCCACCCCGGCCGGGAGAGAGGGGAGTGACTGACAGTTTGGGAGGGATGGCAACAGAACGGCTACCTCGCACTCCATGTGCGAGAACGCAGGGTATTATTTTTATTTATAAATTAGTGTTATAATTATTATATAAAATGAACTCGGGGGCACGGGACGCGGCACAAACGGGGCACAAACGCCAGGCTACAAACACGGGGAGGCACGTAGTGACGCAAGGGAGTCTAGGCACCGGTGGCGTCCGTGCAAGCCCCACCCGGCCGGCGGATGGGCGTGGGGGCGCGTCGCCCTGCTTGCTCTAGGTGAAACGTCTACAGGACGAAGAAGACCCGAATCCGCACGGCGGGCGGAGAATCACGGGCACTAGCTAGACCACGGAGGACTGGGAGAGTGTGAATGGAGGGACAGACGTCCCCCCCCTCGAAGCCGATCGTGACAGATGGCGTGCCACATGGCGCTGCGTTTGATGGCGCTGCGTTTGATGTACCAAGTGAAAAAGCGAGCTGGGAACAGCGTGTCAAGTTGCTGAAGCGGAGTTGTTTTGTTTTTGCTGAGAGAGTGTCAAGTTTTCGAGGCCGGGGAGAGATCCAAAACAAAACATCTGTCTCCCCGGCGAGTGTGGGGGGACGCTGGACAGGAGATGACGGCACACTAGCAACAAAAAACTCTATACAACCTTCGGGAAAAGAGAGACGCGCGTGCGCCCCGTCCATACCAGGAGCAGGCGGACATCG